CCGGCGCAACCGGCATATAACGGGGCCCTCAGAGGGCTGTGTTTAATCTACTGAAATACTGAAACACTGAAATCTACTAAAATTTACTGAAAACTAAAATTAAAATACAAAATAATATATGGTCAATGATGGAGGTAGACTGATTGCGTCTTTTAAAACATTCAAAACATAATAGGCATCAACAAAATTTTGGAGAAAAAAAATTGGAAATTTTTTTTTCTTTTTGGGGGAGGGGGGCTATTTGTAAAACGAACATCGTAATGACCTTGACCTTCCTTCATTGGCGCTCACTTGGTCCAAAACCGCACACAGAGGACCAGGCTCCGGGTTACCTATTTAGGGTGTTTTCCGGTATTTAGGATGTTTTCCGGTATTTAGTGTTTTTCCGGTGTTTTCCGGTATTCAGTATAAAATGGTGTTTTCCGGTGTTTTCCTGTGTTTTCCGGTATATAGTATGGCCCCTTCAGGTTCGCGGTTTCCTAGATACGGGGTTACCAAACATTTCATGTGTCACGGCTACAGACGGAATAATCAACCGATTTTAATTCAGCTCACGGATTATGATAACATTAATAATATCCCAGAGTAGACAAAGTTTCGACCACTCCAGGTTAGCGGTTTCCGAGATATCAGGTTACCACACATTTCATGTGGCACGGCTACAGACAACAGTTATCAACCGATGACTAAGAAACGTAAATGGCGAAAAGTTTGGCTACTCTGAGATATTATTAAAATCTGTTGATAATGGCGGTACGCAGACTCAACACGTCTCCGAATTGTCTTACCAAATGTGGCAAATAGCCCCTGCATAAAAAAAATGGACATTATTCTCTAAAAATCTCTGATGAAGAGTAGGCTGTAGTGACACTGTCCAGGCAAAATGTCCTTCACCTGTTTTCATTAGCATTTCATTTATTTAAAAAAACATTTCAAAATATTATTTTTGTATTTTTCAGTTTGTGGTGAAATTTTAACAGATACAACCGGATCCCTGACGAGTCCTGGTCATCCCAATCCATATCCACATGGTGCTAACTGTACCTGGCATATCACCGTTACCCCTGGTTACATTATTAGACTTACATTCCATTCGTTTAGTATAGAGGTCAACAACCCTAACTGTCGCTATGACTACGTTCAGATCTACGATAACGCTATGGTTAACACCAACAGCAGTCTAGGACGGTAATATTCTATACTCTGTACATTAGTTTCGTATAGTCATATTTGATATTTTACAGTGGTCATATTTGATATTTTATTGTAGTCATACTTGATATTTTACTTGTCATATTTGATATTTTGCTGGGGTCATATTTGATATTTTACTGGGGTCATATTTGAACTGATATATTACTGTAGTCATAATTGATATTTTATTGTAGTCATATTTGATATTTTACTGTAGTAATAATTGTCATATTTGATAGACATATTTGATATTTTACTCTAGTCGTATTTGATATTTGACTGTGGTAATAATTGATATTTTACCGTGGTAATAATTGATATTTTACTGTAGTATATTTGATATTTTACTGTGGTAATAATTGTTATTTTACCGTAGTCATATTTAATATTTAACCCGATACGTCACTGTACTATTTGAAAATTTTGAATTATTATTTTATATTTTTGTAATTTGAATCATTTATTTGTAGATTTTGTGGCTCTGTTCGACCGCCAGTTTTAACATCAACAAGTAACACAATGACTGTTAGATTCGGTTCCGACTCAAGTATCGCTCATGAAGGTTTCTCTGCCTCCTATGTTGCCCTCAACGCCAGTACACGTAAGATTATCACTATTTTTGTTTTGTTTTTTAGACTGTGCATCCGTTGTTGTCGAACGATCAATCATTGGCTGAGAAAGTTCATGGGATTTTCCGATGTGGTGCAGGACGGAGTGCCTGAAAAGAAAAGCTGTCTAGTCGTTCGGATGGGATGAAAAACCGAGGTCCCGTGTATACATTTGCATGCCTGTAAAAGAATTCGATATAAGCGTAGGCCATAGTGCCGGTGCCCGGGCAAAATGTCCCTCATAGCACACTGTATATGGCGTATGCGCGTCTTCATTAGCCCAGTCGGAGCAGAACAGTAGGACGTTAAACTCCATTTCATTTCATTTTAGTTCTATTTTCTCCATTGATGAATTTCTAGTCTGGCTGTTTTATTTTCCAGTGTGTGGCGCCTTCCTAACCGATACTTCTGGTGTTATCACTAGTCCCAATTATCCAGGTAACTATCCACATCAACGGGAATGTATCTGGACTATCTCAGTTCCCGATGGAAATCAGATTTTATTAAATGTGACAGATTTCCTGATGGAGAACCATGTCAACTGTAACTATGACTACCTTGAGATCAGGTAAATGTATTTTATGTTCTCTATAGTAAGTGCAGGAAGACCACACCACACACAAACCAACCGAAACCAACAAGACAAACCCATGGACACGACAAACCTTACTATGGACAAGACATAATATTTCAAACACATAAGACAAATACACAAGAAAAACCCACGAATGACACGCAGTATGTCAAACAAGAAGCACACATATCAAGTCAGGTTAATGGATCATAGGACTAGCCGTAAGCATCCACTGCGCTGTACAGGCCTGTAGTGGTACAAGATTCACTCAACATGAAATAAACTAATAATAAGGGAAACAATCCAAAAGAAAACAAAAGGGGTAATAATTCCCATGCGTTTAATAATAATAACAATAATATATCATTATAGAAATTTGATAATAATAATAATAATAACAATAATAATAATAATAATATTAATAATAACAATGATAACAATAATATGTTATTATATAATGATAATAACAATGATAATAATAGTATTTTATGATGATGTTTTTATTATAGAAAGTTACTAATAATAATAATAATAATAATGATAACAATAATATTTTATTATAGAAATAATAATAACAATAACAATAATAATGGTAACAATAATATTTTATTATAGAAATGGAGGATATCAGACGTCACCATTGGTTGGTAAATATTGTGGAAGAACGATTGATAATATCATCGTCTCCCATAGCAACAGAATGTGGTTAAAATTTAAAACAGATGTATCACAGTCAGCTCGTGGATTCAAGATTCTTTATGATGGAACATCTACAGGTCTGTATATTACAAATTTCGGGGGTCGGGTAGCTGATTGTTTAATTGTCAGTATGGTCGGTGTGTTTTAGATTGTGACATCTGTCATTGAGTCAAGTGGTATGGTTTCGATCCTTGTACGTGGCATGGGGTGTATAGTGGGGGTCACCTGCCCAACCTCGTTGGTTTTGCGAGGGTCCTCTGCCCCCCCCCCTACTAAAGGCCCCTAATCGCAAGTGAATTATTGAAATAAAAATGAACCATATGTTAGTCCAAAACTGACCTAGCTTGAGTCGAAGTGATATTAAATCCATTTATCTTGTTGTTGTGGACGATGTTCTTCGAAAAAAAAACCCCAAATGTTCCGTCAATTTAAGTACATTCAACAAAAAACGTTCCATGCATGTTCCTTGGACAACTGTACAAGTTGACAACTTGAATTTTGATATGATATAAGGTTCCAATATGACAATCATGACGTCATTCTCGATTCCCCGTCCATATATTACTATCACACTATTTTCAAATAACATTTTTATATTGAGCAGGTTGTGGAGCCGATCTAACGTCGCCTACAGGAAGTTTTATATCACCCAACTATCCCATGACGTACGCTCATAATTCCGAATGTTTCTGGACTATAACCGTTAACCAAGGTAACACAATAACCTTGACCTTCACTGATTTTGACGTGGAAGCGCAACAGAGCTGTAACTATGATTACTTAATGGTAAGACTTTTTATTGGTTTATTTTTATTTCAAGTTGAGGGCTTTAATACACCGAGGACGGATTGGAAAAAGCACAAAATAACAAGTCTGGCTGAATGTACGTGACAAGGAGCAGGGTCACCTGTCCAATCTCGTGAGTCATCTCTGGGTCCTCCGGTTTCCCCCCACTCCCACTGTTCTACATACAAGCGAATTATTGAATTAAAATTGAACCACATGTTAGTCTCAAAATGACCTGTTGTCCCTTTCAGTTTAGTTGGTTGTAAAAGTATCAGCATTTATGACCCCTACTGTCCTGGAGATGTGAGGAGATTGGTCGCTCCTTTCTTGGGGACGGTGTAATCTTACTCCATTCCTGGGGCAAGCGGTCTCACGAGCTCCTAGAGATGTGAGGAGATTGGTTTCTTTTTTCCTGGGGATGGTGGGGCGAGTAATCTCACACCATTCCTGGGACAAGCGGTCTCACGACTTTCCTGGGGATGGTGGGGCGAGTAATCTCACTCCATTCCTGGGACAAGCGGTCTCACGACTTTCCTGGGGATGGTGGGGCGAGTGATCTCACTCTATTCCTGGGGCAAGCGGTCTCACAACTTTCCTGGGGATGGTGGGGCGAGTGATCTCACTCTATTCCTGGGGCAAGCGGTCTCTCGTCTTTCCTGGAGATGGTGGGGCGAGTAATCTCACTCTATTCCTGGGGCAAGCGGTCTCTCGTCTTTCCTGGAGTTGGTGGGGCGAGTGATCTCACTCTATTCCTGGGACAAGCGGTCTCACTACTTTCCTGGGGATGGTGGGGCGAGTGATCTCACTCTATTCCTGGGGCAAGCGGTCTCACAACTTTCCTGGGGATGGTGGGGCGAGTAATCTCACTCCATTCCTGGGGCAAGCGGTCTCTCGTCTTTCCTGGAGTTGGTGGGGCGAGTGATCTCACTCTATTCCTGGGACAAGCGGTCTCACTACTTTCCTGGGGATGGTGGGGCGAGTGATCTCACTCTATTCCTGGGGCAAGCGTTATCTCGTCTTTCCTGGAGTTGGTGGATGCTCGTGGTGTCTCTCTGGTTCCTCGGGACGCCAAGGGAGAGTTATCTCTCTTGTTTTTTAATTTCGTGTTTATTTTTAGGTGCGGGAAGGAAATGAATACGGGGAACAACGAGGTAAATTCTGTGGTACGTCTACTCCCTCTCCAGTCCAATCACGTACGAACAAACTATGGATAAAATATCGAACAGATAGAAGTATCGGAGGTCGTGGTTTCCAGGCAACCTATTTTACCAGTAAGTTCCTCTTATTTTAGTTTGTAGGGGTTGGATGGCCGAATGGTTAGCAGGTGCGTGCTGTATCATAAAGCCTGTCATTGAGTCAACTGGCGTGGTTTCGGATCCCTGGTTGTACTTGACAAGGAGAAGGGTCGCCTGTCCAACCTCGTGGGTTTTCTCCGGGTCCTCCGGTTTCCTCCCACTGCTAAAGACCCCTATGCGCAAGCGAATTATTGAAATAAAATTAAACCATATGTTAGTCCCGAAATGACCTAGTTTGTGTCGAGTGGACTTAAACCCTCTCTCTCTCTCTCTCTCCCTCTCATTTCAGTTTATGGGAGTTGTATGACCTTGTGGGTTTTCTCCGGGTCCTCCAGATCCCCCTTATTGCTAAAAACACTTACACGCAAGCTAAAGATATCCATTTTTATGATGTGTATGTAAAAGAGTCCTTAAGAGTTGGAATTTGATATTAAAATGGTCCGTAGTGCCTCTGTCCAGGCAATATTGCACCCATAGCGCACTGTATATTCTCATTAGCCGAGTCGGGGCAGAACAGTAGAATCCCATTTAATTCCATTTCTTGAATAAGACCCTTGGTTTTACAGTAAATGATGGCTACTAATAAATCTGTTTTGATTAAAACTTAGGTTTGCATCATCGTGGAACATCAATTTTATACATTATCTCCGCGGGGGTTGGATGGCCAAGTGGTTAGCATGTGCGCTGTATCATAAAGTCTGTCATTGAGTCAAGTGGTGTGGTTTCGATCCGTGTATGTGACAAGGAGCATATAGCGGGGTCATCTGTCTAACCTGTGGGTCCTTTGATTTTCCACCATTGCTAAAGACCCCTGCGAGCAAGTGAATTATTGAAATAAAATTGAACCATGTTTTAGTCCCGAAATGACCTAGTTTATGTCCAGTGGATGTTAAACCCCATTTTTCTATCTCTTTACATTATCTCCATTCTCGTATTTCAGGTTGTAATACCAGATTAACCAGTCACGACGGTGTAATAGAAAGTCCCAATTTCCCTAACAGCTATCCTCATATACGTAACTGTACCTGGGTAATACAGACTACATTTGGCAACAAGATCAACGCCTCCTTCTCACATTTTGACCTGGAAGGCTCAGCCACCTGTTCCTATGACTACCTACAGGTACGATGACTTATACAAGGGACATCCGGAAGTTCATACAAATTGTCCAAAACAGTGTCATACGTTTTTCCTAAACATTGTCACACATTTGTCCAAAACAATGCCACACATTTGTCCAAAACGTTGTCATACATGTGTCCAAAACATTGTCATACATTTGTAGGATGATATCTAGATTTTTGGGGACTGGTTATGGATTAGGGTTAGGGGTCTGTTTAGGGTTAAGGGACTGGTTAGGGTTAGGGGACTGGTTTGGAGACTGGTTAGGGTTAGGGAACTGTCCACACGGTCAAACATTCTAAGACTTGTGTATGATAACGAATAACATCAACTTATTAGATGAACAATGTTAATAACGTAACTCATTTTTAATGGTCTTTCTGTCTCCGTCAAATGTGCACCCAGAACATTGTCCGACTCCCGAACCACTCAATATTCTTAGCACCCACCCCATCCATGGTGGTACAGCCATGTTATTCTATTTGGGTATTCAGAAGCTTATTTATTTGTTTTTGTTTTAGCTAATGGATGGTAACAGACCAACATCAAATTTGATTGGTCGATATTGTGGTAATACCATCCCACCTTCTATATCAACCAATGGTTCAACTCTATCTCTCAACCTGGTTACAGATCAATCCGTAGCTGGAAATGGTTTTAGACTCGAATGGGTGACAGACGGTAAAATTCTTTCTATTTTTACGAGTGGGTGGCGCTGGCCAATTGGTTTAACATAAGATCATTAGGCCTGTCATGGCGTCAAATGGCGGAATTTCAATTACACGTTGTAGGTTTCTCTGGGTCCTTGGGTTTCGGTTTAAATGGGCATTGAATGGCCGAATGATTAGCTCGTGGATGCTGTTTCATAAGGTCTGTCATTGAGTCAACATGCGTGGTTTCGATTCCCTAGTTGTACATGGCAAGGAGTAGGGTCGCATGTCCAAACTTATGGTTTCCTGTCACTGCTAAATACCCCTACGCGCAAGCGAATTGTTGAAATAAAATTAAACCATAAGTTAGTCCCGAAATGACCTAGTTTATGTCAAGCGGACGTTAAATATTCTAGTTCGCCGATTATCCCAAGTCACTTCAATAATAATAATAATAATAATAAAAACTTTATTTAATGAGGCAACGTATTTAGTTTGCAAAAAAAAAACTAATCTTCCATAGGTCCCTCCTAAACTACAAAGACATATATACATGTAATATCAGGATAAATTTAAAATCATTAGAAATGCAATAGCATTTTAAAGTGGGAAGTTTGATAAGTCACTCCCAAACTACAAAACATATACATTATACAAGTAGAATATAGGAAGAACACTATAATTACACACAAAATAAAATAGAATGCAGTTGCAAGTTAAAAATAATAAGTATGTCATCAGTTGAATATTATGGTTCCTTCAGTGTGCAAAATAAATGAGTTTTCAGTTTAATCTTAAAATTTTCAACATTTTTACACGGTCGCGTGACCTATTTTTATTTTAAAAATACAACCTGGTGAATCCAGAAATGTGGTGGAGGCTTGTTTTTTCGAGTACGCAAATTCCCGAATCCGATATTTGGTAAGATTTGTCTGAGAACCAGAATATAGTATGGTGTAAGGTACATTTTCACTGGGTTAAATGAAATGTAAGTCAGACAGAATTAAAAATTGAAAAAAGAGCTGGCAGTTCTAACTATAAAAGTTAACAACTATATACTGTAAAGGGAACATACTGAAAATTTCAGTCAAATTGATCCACTATGAACCAAGTTTTTAGCGATTGAATTTTCTGTCCAGCCTTGATCATCATTACTAAAGTCGGTAGGATAAAACATAGTCTCGATTATCCACCTTATGATTTAATTATAAATGGAAGTCGAACAGCAAATCTGAACCTAATCCAATAAACATGGCAGGCTAGCGATGCAATCGAGAGTTGATTATGGTCTGGATAAGTTAATTAATGTCTAATTAATAATTTAGATAACATTTCGGGCCTAAAGTAAGACCTGCAATAGGCAGATTTATCTCTTGTATAATGTATGTTTCAAGGCTTGTTAATTATTTACAGGTTGTGGTGGAGACTTAGTCACGGATACCGGAACCTTTACCAGTCCTAACTATCCCAACGCTTACCCAAATCGTAGAGAATGTATCTGGAAGATCACCGTGGGAACAGGAAAATCTATTCAACTAACGATAAATCCGTTTGATTTAGAATCTCATTCTAACTGTAATTATGATGTATTAGATGTAAGTGGATTTAATTGTCTTTTAATTTAATTCTTTCTCATCTCTGGAACCACGATGACACGGTGGGTAGAACTTTGGTTCGCTAACCTCGAGGTCCAGTGTTTGATCCCTCCGTTGGCCGAGAAACTTCATCAGGATTTACTGGCGTATATTCGAATTTTCAGTGATGCAGGGCAGAGGCAGCGTATAGTCATTTGGATGGGCCGATAAACCAAGGTCCCGTGTATACATTGGCTTGCACGTAAAAGATCCCTTGGCAGAAATAATCCTGCTGTCGGGACAAAATTACCCTCATCGCACACTGTATGTCATAGTTTGTGTCGAATGGACGTTAAATCCCAATTTGATTTGATTTGTGTATTTGTAGATCTATGGTGGACCGGATGATTCAGCTCCTAGAATCGCTCATCTGTGCCATACCCAGACTACACCTCAAGTTGTCCAGACGACCGGAAACACCATGTTTGTACGATTTAAATCAGATAGCAGTATCTCAGGAACGGGATTTAGCGCCACCTATCAATCCCAAACAGGAGGTAAGAGTTATCTCCCCTTTTTAGTTATTTTTTCGAATTAGACGTAAAACTGAGTTCCTGCTTAGCCTACGCATTGTTGTGAGCTAGAAGAACCCTTGAAAGTTGGAATTTGGAATAATAGTCAACCGTAGAGCTTGTCTGTATCACTCGATATCCCTGCCCCTAGGACGACAAGTTCACATGGTTTTTATTTAGTCTCGGAGCCATTTGGTGTTCGTATAATTAAGACATTTAATTTAAGTGTCCTGTTTCCAGTTTAGTTTGCGGCTCTAGTAGTCAAGTGATTACGATGTTGGACACTTGACTGGAATGTTCTGGATTCTAGTTGAGAGAGACCCCAGAATAATTGACGCCCTCGTGCTTATCTGATACATCTGTCACCAGGACCACTGGCAGACAAATAAAGCATTGGGCTAGTGCGTAAGATAAGCCAAGATATTTAGGTACGATGGTATGATACATGTGTTTTATGTTCTCTAGGATGTGGAGGTAACTTTAGTACACCAAGTGGTACGATCGTATCCAAGAACTACCCCAGTAATTATCCCCATAATACAGACTGTCAGTGGTTGATCACAGTCGAGGAGAATCGACCAGTTGTCATCACATTTAATGATTTTGACGTGGAGGGAAGTTCAACTTGTAACTACGACTATGTAGCCGTAAGTTATTTATTTCGTTTCATCCATTATACATCAATTACATGTACATATTCCAATACGTAAAACCTGGAACTAAGATGGTGTCCATAGCAACGCAAGTTTCTTTCACTCGCTTCAGTAGAGCGTGTCCAATTATATCGAAAATGGAAATTATTGTGTAAAGTCAAAAATCTAAAAAAGCCATTTAAAACAATCATACATGTCCACTATCCTTACTAGTTTCGTCAAATAAATTTGAACATTTACAGAGGACCAGTATAACATTCTTTTTTATTTATTTGTGTTTATATGCTTAATAATTACTTTTGAAATCTTGTTGAAACATTGTACTGTAATAAACCATAGTAAGTGGACGTTAAACCCTATTTCTCTGTTGAGTGGATGTTAAACCCTATTTCTCTGTTGAGTGGACGTTAAACGCTATTTCTCTGTTGAGTGGATGTTAAACCCTATTTCTCTGTTGAGTGGATGTTAAACCCTATTTCTCTGTTGAGTGGACGTTAAACCCTATTTCTCTGTAGAGTGGACGTAAAACCCTATTTCTCTGTTGAGTGGACGTTAAACCCTATTTCTCTGTTGAGTGGACGTTAAACCCTATTTCTCTGTTGAGTGGATGTTAAACCCTATTTCTCTGTTGAGTGGACGTTAAACCCTATTTCTCTGTTGAGTGGACGTTAAACCTTATTTCTCTGTTGAGTGGACGTTAAACCCTATTTCTCTGTTGAGTGGACGTTAAACCCTATTTCTCTGTTGAGTGGATGTAAAACCCTATTTCTCTGTTGAGTGGACGTTAAACCCTATTTCTCTCTATCATTACGTGTCTTACAGATTTATGATGGAGGGGATACGTCGTTTCCTGAGTTAGTGAAACATTGTGGCACGTCTCTTCCTATTCCAAGTGTTTACAGGTCGTCCAATAATCAGGTTTATATCAGAATGAGGTCAGATGGCAGCGTTGCAGCACGAGGTTTCAAAGCTAGCTATGTAACAGGTAAGTGGAGGTCAATTTAGTTGCCTGCTTCCATCCTGTTGAAAATATACAGGCCTTTAAACAGAAAAGTTTCCTTCATAGCCCACTATATGCCCATCGTCATCAGGTGGTTGCTGAAAAGTATGACCTTAAGCTAAATCTCTCTCTCTCTCTCTCTCTCTATCTCTATCTCTCCTGATTTAATGAGATGTGTGTATGTATATCTATATTTGTACAGGTTGTGGTGGTAGAAGGAATGCTGAAACTGATGGTGCTATCATGTCCACTAATTATCCCCAGGCGTACGACAGAAACAGCAACTGTACATGGTTAATCCAGGCTGATCATAACAGTAAGTTTCTTTTCAATTCATTCAAGGACATAATGGCATGTATGTGCTAAGGAGTATGGTCGCCTGTCCAGCCTTGTGGTCCTCCGGTTTACTACCACAGCTAAAGACCCCTATAAACGTGAACCATATGTTAGTCCCATAATGACCCTAGCCCTCCCCCACTCTCTCTCTAGCTATGTGTCTCTGTCTGTCTTGTCTGTCTCTCTCTCTCTGTCTGCCTGTCTCTCTCTCATTGTTTATATATTTCCAGGTGACCGAATAACCTTGACCTTTACGCATATGGATGTGGAACAACGCGGAAGTGGATGTAACCATGATTATTTACGCGTACTGGATGGTAATGATGTCAATTCACCAGAAATAGGAACATACTGCGGTACTACTGTTCCTGCGCCAATCACATCCCAAGGCTCAGCCATGTTTGTTGTATTTATTTCTGACGGATCTTCCCAGAGTTCTGGCTTCAGGGCCACCTACACCAAGTCTGCTTCTAGTAAGTATATTTACAAGACTCTGCCTATATTTACAAGACTCTGGCTTCAGGTTCACCAATATTTACAAGACTCTGGCTTCAGGTTCACCAATATTTACAAGACTCTGGCTTCAGGTTCACCTATATTTATAAGACTCCGGCTTCAGAGTCAGCTATATTTACAAGACTCTGGCTTCAGGGTCACATATATTTACATGACTCTGGCTTCAGGTTCACCTATATTTACAAGACTCTGGTTTCAGAGTCAGCTATATTTACAAGACTCTGGCTTCAGGGTCACATATATTTACATAACTCTGGGTTCAAGGTCATCTATTCATGTATTTACAAGACTCTGGCTTTAGAGTCACCTATATTTTTATGTTATGTAGCAAATCGTGTTCTCAATACACAAAAATAGGTGCACATCGTCATTTTTCATATTATACTTCCGGTCAAGTTTGCTGACTTGCATATGCATCAGGGCCACCTAGATTAAATTGGCTTCCAGTAAACGAGGTCACGTGTACACATTAGCGTTCAAGTAAAAGAACCATTGAGAATGGAAATTTGATATAATAGTAGGCTGTAGCGCCACTTTCCTAGCGAAATTGTCGTCATGGCACACTGTATGGCGTATGTCTGTTTCATTAGCCCAGACAATATTCCGTGACTGATTCCATATCGTTCATGATAGAGATGAGAGAAGCCAGATTGAAACGTCGGCTGTTATTTATGCTTTTCAATTACTAAATTCCATCTGGTTCATGATAGAGATAAGAGAAGCCAAGTTGAAACGTCGCTGTTATTGTTATTCCATATAGTTATTGTTATTATATTTATACATGTCAATTACTAAATGCTATTTAAACAAAATTATTACCATTCTAGGTTGTGGTGGAGCGTTTACAGCTCAAAGTGGTTCATTTACCAGTCCGTCATATCCCAATAGTTATCCTGCAGCTACAGAATGTGTCTGGACAATCCAGTCTTCACCTGGTAATAGTATCTTGATATCATTCAGGTAAGTCTGGATAATCTAAGATAATTATATTTTTCTAATAAAAGTTAAAATCGTTGATCGTCATTTTGAGTCCCTTAAAAACTACAATATTGTCAAAGATGAAACTCTAAAGGGGGTATGGGTCCAAAAAATCTTTAAATTCCATTCAATTTTAACAAATATATAGTGAATTAAAATACTGCAACATTTGGCATCCTCTGATGGATCTCTCTTTAAATCAACTGAATCCAAGTTTGGAGGGATAGGGTGACCCTAGTTAAAACGACATACTACATTCTACCTACACCATGGATTTTCTTGAAGAAAAACTTTATTTTCTCTATTTAACAAGAGCTTATTTTGGATCTTGAAGTTTTTTGCACTTAGAAATTCTAATCCCTAAAGTAGACCATTAAGTAACTTTAATAAAATAAAGGAATAAGAAATGTTCTGTCCGGTTATTTTGCATACTGTCTTAAAACTTTATGATCTGTCAGTAATTGTCACTCAAAGGGTCTAATAGTAAACCCCATACTCTTCAACTTTCAATAAATTTTCATTCAAGATACTATTGCATATATTTATACCTTTCTGTAAATTTTAAAACAAGGGACCTAATATGGACCTAATACTGACCCCTAAGGTAATCCTGCATATTTTTATAACTTTCTGTAGATTTTAACATAAATGGCCTAATAATGACACCTCAGGTACTCCTGCATATTTTTTATACCATTCTGTGGATTCTAACAGAACGGACCTAATACTTACTCCTGAGGTAGTCCTGCATATCTTTATAAATTTCTGTAGATTTTAACATAAGGAACCTAATACTGCATATCGGTATACCTTTTTGTAGATTTTAATACCGACCCCTAGGGTAAGCCTGCATATCTGTTACCTCTCTTTAGATTTAAACATATGAGACGTAATACTGACCCCTGGACTGACGTCTGTATATATTTCAGTGTTTTTAACATAGAATGGAGTCCATCATGTCTTTCCGATTACGTAGAGATTCGACAAGTAAATGCAGCAGGTAGTTTGATTGGCCGATATTGTGGTTCATCAATACCTTCTAATGTAACGGCAGCTAATGGAGTATGGATGAAATTCCGATCGAACAATTTAACAACAGGCACCGGATTTGTTGGGGAGTATAATTCCGGTAATACTATTCAGCTTGTTAAAATTCTATAATTTGAAACTTTGTCCGATCCTTTTGATATATGCCAATTGAATATGTTTAAACTAAAGGAATGAGAAGAGATTTTTGCTCAGCCCAAACTGTTCCCAATCCTATTGATATGTGTAAATGGAATATGTTTAAACTAAAGGAATGACACATGAAATGAGAAGAGATGGTTCTCATCCCACACCAGGACTCGAACGTGAAACAGTCTTGCCATATGTACAGTGCCCTAAGTCAGCGGTGTCAACTTGACAGAGAGCAGTAGTAGCTCAGTGTGTAAGACACTGGCTCACTAACCAGGAAGTTTCAAGATTTACTCCAAGTATTGGCTGATTTAGTTATTCCGGATTCTCTGGCATGGTTTCTCCTTGTCCATAGTAGCTCGGTGTGTAAGACACTAGATCACTAACCAGCAAGTGCCAGGTTATTGGTCGATTTAGTTATTCTCGATTCTCTGGCCTGGTTTCCCCTTGTCAGTAGTGCAGGGTGGAAGGGAAGAGTCTCTTGTTGTTCGGGTTGGAATGCACTTAACAGAACCCTTGATAGTTGGAGTTCGAAAATTTACCTCATACCAGACTGTATGAACAGTGGGAGCATGCACAGTGGGAGCAGACTGTCTGCACAGTGGGAGCATGCACAGTGGGAGCATATTGTATGCGCACTGGGAGCAGACTGTCTGCACCTCTTTTTTAGCGCAGGCGGTGCAGATAAATTAAAAAAACATCCATTAAAAACTAAAACTTGTATCATGTTCACAAGGTTTCCGGCAAAGTGGTGTAAATTCTAAACCTGTTGCACTCTAGGTAGGATGTTAAATAAAATATTGAAAAGTTATTTATAATTTGAAAACTGACATCTGATATTTCTATTTATAGTTTTTGGTGGTGATTTGTCGGGTAGTTCTGGGCAGATTTCCTCCCCTCTGTACCCAGGCCGTTACCCACACAGCTCTGACAGTACATGGAAAGTTACTGCCCCTGTTGGTATGAGAATACGTATATCATTTACAGCATTTAATGTCGAGGGACCAAGAGGTTCGGTGTGTGTTTGGGATTATGTCAAGGTAAACGTTTCTACTTGTTTGTTTCCTGTCAATTAAGTGAGTGGGGGAGGGGGTGGGGTGGCCGAATCTTAGTCTCCCTCTGTGTAAATTTAATGAGGGGTTGGGTGGCCGAATGGTTTAATGTGTGCGTGTTAGATTGTAAAGTTTGTCATTGAATCCAGTGGTGTAGTTTCGATTCTCCATTTCTACCCGACAAGGAAAAGGGTCGCCTGTTTTCTCCGGATTCCCCCGGTTGACCCACCGCTAAATAAAATTGACCATATGTTAGTCTCTATATAATCAACTGTCTACACATCGAATGGCAGCGATATAGAATGGATTAAAATATCCTAAGATGGACGTAACTCAATAAAAGGAGAGAGACAGGGAGAGAGAGAGAGAGGGGCGGTGTTAACGTTCTCTCACACAAACAAGGTCATTTCGGGACTAACACATGATGGTTTAATTTTATTTCAATAATTCGCCTGCGCGTAGGGGGCCTTTAGCAGTGAAACCAGAGAAACCGGAGAAAACCCATGAAGTTGAACAGACCACCCTATTCCTTGTCACGTAGAACCAGGGAATCAAAACCACACCAGTTGACTCAATGATAGACCTCATGATTCAACGCGCATGTGCTAACCATTCGGCCATCTACCACCCCCCAACCCCCTCAATAAAATGACTGACAATCAAGATTTGATTAGTATCATAACAAGATTTGATTAGTATCATAATAACGTATTAGTAGTGGACAGATAGATCATTCTGTATAACACCATATTAGAAGTGGACAGATATATCATTCTGTATAGCGCCATATTAGGAGTGGATAGATATATCTTTCTGTATAACACCATATTAGGAGTGGACAGATGTAATGTAGATCTGATGATCTGTTCCTTCTAGAACAACTGATGTCACTTTTTATATGGGAAGATCGCATCGAAAACCCCGAACACTGTTTTTGTTATGCTATTAATATTATTTATATTCAGATTTTAGATGGTGGAGCGTCTGACAGTCCTGAGTTGATTCGTTATTGTGGATCGAATATCCCCGATCCTATTATTACTACATCCAATCAGATGCAAGTTGTTTTTCATACTGATAGGTCCTCCAATGGAAATGGTTTCTTGTTGAATTGGCAAGCTACGTCAGATGTACCTATCAGCTCCACGACCCCGGCACCAGGAACCACTCAAGGTATTTATATTCCTAGATTAGTTGACATCAGGTGTGCTTGTGCTCTGTAACGCTCATAATGTCTACTGGGAGGATCACCTGAATCGCTTATCAATATTGGAATTTTTAAACAGTATAGATGTCCATCACAGAATCAAAATTTAAGCACCTTTAGACCCTCTAAAGGTCACAATTTTTATCCGATTTTGATGAAACTTAAAATAAATGGTTCTATTCCAAAGATCTTAGTTTCTGTCAATATTCGTGCACATTTGATCGTAACTTCCTAGATTATGGCCCCTGAAAAATCGCGTTTTAACCTGTGGACCCTCTTGTCATGATTGTGCCTGTTTCTTTAAATTATAAATAAATGAGTATACTAAATACAATGTTTGTTGTGTAATGACATTATTTTGACCTAATTCTATTTCTATCCAACAGTTCCAGGATGTGGTGGAACTCTTTACGCCACAAATAATGCCCAGACTCTTCAATCACCTGGTTATCCAGGCGGTTATCCACATAGTTTAAATTGTGTTTGGGTTATCCAGTCACCATTAGGTACTCGTGTAGCGGTGAATATAACAGATATAGATCTAGAAGTACACGGTATCTGTAGATATGATGCTGTCTCTTTCTTTGATGGTAAGTTTTACACTATTTTTATACGTAAATTGTCGTCGCCCCTGTCCGTCACAATTCTTATCCGATTTTGACGAGAGTTGAAATATAGGTTTACCTCCAAAAGATCTCGTTTCCTGTTGATATTGGCATATATCGGATCTAAAATTCAAGGATTATGGCCCCTAATTGTACGACAAATTAGGTTTTTAGCGTGTGGACACTCTAGAGGTCACAATTTTTATCCGATTTAGACGAAACTTGAAATGTATGTTTATAACCCAAAGATCTCGTTTTTGTTCCATATTCGCGCATATCAGACCGCAATTTCCTGAATTATGGCCCCTGATTGTACGAGAAATCGCGTTTTGGGTTTGTGATCCCCATAGAGGACACAATTTTTTTATCTAATTGAAAAAACCATTTAAATATATCACCGTTACACCTTTGTGATGGTTGAGTTCGAATGTCGTGACAATCGGACCGAAACTGCCAGACGTAATGGCTGCTCCTTGTACGCAAAGAGTGTAAAAGTATGTAATACCAAGGTTATGGACCCTCTAGAAGTCACAATTTTTATCCGATTTTAATGAAACTTGCAATGTATGTTGATAACCCAATGTGGGCATATCTTGCACGACAACCGCTTGTTCATTTTGAGTGAAGCCCTGGACTGTACAGCATAGTGGATGCTTACGGCTAGCCCCCGTATCCATTCACTTGATTTGATATTAATTTATTGTTCATTTCTTGCAATGTCTGTGTGGTTCTGTTTTTCCTGTCGGTATAGGGGGTTGGATGGCCGAATGGTTAGGACGTGCGCGCTGTATCATAAGGCCTGTCATTGAGTCAACTGCCGTGGTTTTGAATCCTCGGTCAAACATGACATGGATTAGGGTCGCCTATCCAACCTCGTGGTTTTTCTTCGGGACCTCTGGTTTCCTCCCACTGCTAAAAACCCCTATGCGCAAGCGAATTATTGAAATAAAATTAAACCAAATGTTAGTCCCGAAATGACCTAGTTAGTGTCGAGTGGACGTTAAACCCTCTCTCTCTCTCTCTCTCTCTCGATCTCTCGATCTTGTCGGTATCGTTTTGCATGCAGTGCAGTTCTACTGAACTTACAGTAATTATGAATGCATTTTACTATATATTTAAATAAACTTTACAGTCTTTTCCAAATGTCCATGGATCAAATTATAGAAATATGAAATTAAAATAGTTATATGATTATTTTTTGTATTTTTTTTTGCCAACAGGTGTAGACACTGGACGCCGTAACCTAGGTAATTATTGTGGTCGTACTAGAAACACTGCTCTGATAACAGCCACCACCAACAGAATGGCCATTAGATTTAAAACAGATGTATCAGTCAATAAAACAGGATTCTCTCTTAATTATATGACAGGTTAGTAACCATAGCAACCACATAAACATAATTATATGACTGGTCAGTAGCCATAGCAACCATATAAACATATCTTTTATAAACGTAAATCAATAGAATTGTATGACAGATTGGTAACCATAGCGACCACATCCTTTATAAACATAATCATATAGTAACCATATATTCTATAAACATAGGTTTATGACTCGTTAGTAACCATAGCAACCATATATAATTATATGACTGGTAAATAACCATAGTGACCATATGTTTTATATGTGACTGGTAAGTAACCATATCGACCATATCTGTCCTGGTAAAAGTCTCACCATAGCATCTTGCTAGGTGTATGCCTGCCTTAGGAGGGAGGGATCAGAAGAACAGGACATTATGCCTAATATTTTATTTCGTATTGTCTTGTAGAAAATCCTCTTGAATCCAAAACATTTAAAATAATGGTGCTTAATAATTGTATATTTGTAGCTTGTGGTGGATCTATAGAGGGTCAATTAACAGGTGTAATAAAATCACCTGGTTACCCTGGTAACTATCCAGCCAATCAGAACTGTAGCTGGACTATTAAAATGGTGAACGGTCGAACAGTCAGTGTCAGGTTTAACGGAACATTCAACCTTCCTGGAAATGATTATGTCCAAGTAAGTGGAGAATAAAACATTTTTGAAATTGTCATTAAATTCCCTAGAAGATGATAAGTCTTAGCTTTGTATTTATCAGACAATATAGCATTTTTTTAAAGTTTGATGGAAACTAATGCAGGCCCCCTCAGACTGATTATTTAACATTTGATGAAAAAAAACCCCAAAATATCAAAATGAAATAATCCCCCAGCTTGAATTTAATTGACACTGCCTTGTACTACTGACACTATATCCAATATATGATGTGTAGTGGATGCTGAATGTTGCCCACACTATATCCAATATATGGTCTGTAGAGGATGCTGAATGTTGCCCACACTATATCCAATATATGGTCTGTAGAGGATGCTGAATGTTGCCGACACTATATCTAATATATGATGTGTAGAGTATGCTGAATGTTGCCGACACTATATCTAATATATGGTCTGTAGAGGAAGCTGAATGTTGCCGACACTATATCCAATATATGATCTGTAGAGGATGCTGAATGTTGCCGACACTATATCTAATATATGGTCTGTAGAGGAAGCTGAATGTTGCCGACACTATATCCAATATATGATCTGTAGAGGATGCTGAATGTTGCCGACACTATATCCAATATATGGTCTGTAGAGGATGCTGAATGTTGCCAACACTATATCTAATATATGATGTGTAGAGGATGCTGAATGTTGCCGACACTATATCTAATATATGATGTGTAGAGTATGCTGAATGTTGCCGACACTATATCTAATATATGGTCTGTAGAGGAAGCTGAATGTTGCCGACACCATATCCAATATATGATCTGTAGAGGATGCTGAATGTTGCCGACACTATATCTAATATATGGTCTGTAGAGGAAGCTGAATGTTGCCGACACTATATCCAATATATGATCTGTAGAGGATGCTGAATGTTGCCGACACTATATCCAATATATTGTCTGTAGATTATCCTGAATGATGCCGACACTATATCCAATATGTGATCTGTAGATTATCCTGAATGATGCCGACACTATATCCAATATATGATCTGTAGAGGATACTGAGTGTTGCCGATACTATATCCAATCTATGATCTGTAGATGATCCTGAATGTTGCCCACACTATATCCAATATATGGTGTGTAGACGATGCTGAATGTTGCCGACACTATTAGCAAATTTTAAAGTCATCAAATCTGTGTCAATACTTCACAGAACTGAACCATATTTAAATGGATGTCCCTTTTAAACATCCAGCTGTTTATACTGAACAGAATTGAACCAGATTTGGACTTCTATTCCAATGAGATATTCAACTTCCTGTTAGCAGGGATAATACTTAGTTACTCAGAATGGCCAACACTAAATATTATCAGTATTTTACAACAATTATTTGTAGTTGTGTATTAATCTCGAAATTACCTAGTTTGTGTCGAATGGATGTTAAACCCCATTTTCTCTCTCATCGGCCAACACAGGGATCAAACCGAGGAATGATTGTTATCTGCATTTTACAACGTCTTGATATAATTTTTATTTATTTGTAGTTGTTGAATGGTGGTAACTCGGCATCACCTCCCCTTGGTAACGGAACAGACAGAAGCGGAAATGGTCGTTACTATGGTAACAGTTTACCGAGTGTACTAGAGACAAGCAGCAATTTGTTATATGTTAATTTTATATCCGACGCATCTACCAGCGGAAGCGGGTTCTCGATGATCTACAGCGAAGTTCAAGTGACATGTGGAGGAAGGTTAACTTTAACGAACTCGGTGTCTAGCGGCTACTTCATGTCGCCTAACTATCCACAAAACTACCCACATAATGTGGACTGTATCTGGATAATAATGGCACCAGGTGGAGAAAGTGTGCAGGTGGATTTCGAGGGAGCATTTAGTATTGAAAATCATGTCAGGTATTATTGTCATTCATATTTTGAGGAGCTCGTTTGAATCATTTTTATCAGTCTGGAATAACTGGGAGCAAGAGTGACTAGTTGAAGGTTTATACGTCCTGTCAGTCTCTTTATCTCATAACACACCGCCTGACATATGCCCGTCCTGTCAGTTTATTAGCAGAAGGCTTAACATGTGCGTTTTGCATCATATGGTCTGTCATTGAGTTAAGTGGCGTATATTCCATTGCCGGGGTTTCTCTGGGATCTCTGGTTTCCTCCCACTGCTAAAGACCCCTACGCTAAGACAAACTATTGAAATAAAATTGAACTGTATTTTTTTCCTGAAATGACCTAGTTTGTGGTGAGTGGATGTTAAACCCCACTCTGTGTATTCACCAGATTATTTGACTTAACTAAAGGTTGTATTTCAGTGATTTATCGTCACCTCCTTTTAATATTTTGTAGGTGTTCATACGATTATATTGAATTCCGTGACGGAGGCACAGAAAACTCTGCTCTCATCAACAACCAGAAATATTGTGGTAGTACAGCACCAGGAACGATTCGGTCTACAGGAAATGTTTTATACGCTAGGTTCCGTACCGATAACAGTCTACCACGCGTGGGCTTTAAGGCCAAATATAAGATTGGTGAGTAACAGATGTTAATCTTGTAGAGAAACTGATACCCAGTCCTTGTCATCTGATACCCAGTCCTTTTGTCATCTGATACCCAGGCCTTTTCATCTGATACCCAGTCCTTGTCATCTGATACCCAGTCCTTGTCATCTGATACCCAGTACTTGTCATCTGATACCCAGGCCTTGCCATCTGATACCAAGGGCTTGTCATCTGATACCAAGGGTTTGTCATCTGATACCATGGGATTGTCTCGTGGTACCCAGGTTTTGCCAAGTGATACTCGGGGCTTGCCATCTGATACCAAGGGCTTGTCATCTGATACCATGGGATTGTCTCGTGGTACCCAGGACTTGCAAAGTGATACTAGAGGCTTGCCATCTGATACCAAGGGCTTGTCATGTTATACCAAGGGCTAGCTACAAATAACCTGATGCCCAGGGCTTGTCACATGATATGGAGGTATTGTCACCTGATACCCAGGGCTTGCTACGAACCACCAGATACCCAGGGCTTGCCACGCCCAAACTGCTTTCAGGTTGTTACTACTGGTCTAAATATTAACTTCCATTGACTAAGTTTAATCATCAGTTTTTTCTGCTACGTCTAGATAAGCAGTTTGGTTGCTAGGTGCTTCATAAATATTTATTTTTGGATTGCGCAGGGGACTTCTGCCTCACCATTGGCTTGTCTTCTAAATTTTATTTTCTCACAAATCTTCATCTCAAATTTAAAAGCAGTAGAGGTACAGGTAACTGCTTTGATTTTTCTGAAAATAAAAAACGTAGATAGCTCCGGTTAACAATTGTGGTACTAAAAAACGCAATATTTTCTCTATTGTGATTGATTGATGATGTTGTACGATGTTTTTTATGTTACCTAGCAACGTGTGGTGGTACTATAAACGGTGACAGTGGTACAATAACTAGTCCCAACTATCCCAGTAACTATGGTGATAACAGCGATTGTGAATGGTATATCAACGCTCCAACAGGTCACTATATCACCTTCACCTTCACGGCTTTTACCTTGGAAACATCAAATAACTGTACTAATGACTTTTTACAGATCAGAGAAGCCAACGCCACAGGTGAGATAATAGTTATTACATTTAAGTTTTATACAAGGTGTTTTTATCACTTGTAATTTGATTTACCTGTGTTTTATCACCAGTAATTTGATTCAACAATGTGTTTTCACCCGTAATTTACCGGTATTATGTCACCTGTAATTTGATTTACCTATGTTTTATGGTGTTTTGTGACCTGTAATATGACTTACCTGAGTTTTATCACCTGTAAATTGATTTAACGGTGTTTTATCACCTGTAAATGATTTACCCATGTTTTGCCACTTGTTATATGATTTATCTGTGTTTCATCACCTGTAATTTGATTTATCTGTGCTTTATCACCTGTAATTTGATTTATCTGTTTTATCACATGTAGTTTGATTTACCTGTGTTTTATATCCTATAATTTGATTTAGGTGTGTTTTATGACAGGTAATTTAATTTACCTTTGTTGCACCACCTGTGGTTTGATTTACCTGTGTTTTATGACCAGTAATTTGATTTAATTGTGTTTTATAGGTAATTTGTTGATGAATAGATGTGGAGCAACTATACCGACACCTGTAGATACATCCGATAGTTTCGCTTACCTCAGATTTAAATCTAACTCAGCCACATCTGCTACAGGATTTAGCCTCAGTTTCCAGGCCAGTGTTGAAAGTAAGATTTTATACTTGTATTCGTTAAAAAGTTTGAATCACAATTGAGAGATTATATACCGTCGATTCTGTTTTCTTAATTAGATGTTCAAAAATCAATTTTAGAGTGGATTAACGCATGAAAAAAATTAGTTTTTTAGTTGTATTATGTAAGAGCTAATTCTACAATACATTTTGTCAAAACTTCAAACATTCACAACTTCATTCAGAATAAAGTAATTTTTTCATTATCTATCTTTGAACTACTATAGGGGGGTGGATGCCTGAATGGTTAGTACGTGCGTGCTTTATCATAAAGTCTGTCATTGAGTCAACTGGCGTGGTTTCGAATCCCCGGTTGTACGTGACAAGAAGTAGGGTCGCCTGTCCAACCTCGTGGGTTTTCTCCGGGTCCTCCGGTTTCCTCCGGTTTCCTCCCACTGCTAAAGACCCCTACGCGCAAGCGAATTATTGAAATAAAATTAAACCATCTGTTAGTCCCGAAATGACCTAGTTTGTGTCGAGTGGACGTTAAACCTCATTTCTCCCTCTCCCTCCCTTGAACTACTATAGTGCATGCTGCCATCTCTTTATCTAATTCTGGGACAAAGTGCTCCATAACTTGTATCATATTAAGATTATATTGTATACATGTAAAATGTTTATTTAAATGTATAGAACCAATTTAAACCCCACATGTACGAACCCTATACGTTATTGATCTACGATATAAGATATTCTGTCCACTACCCGTCCGTTACATATATACACATATTTAATTACGGACTTAAATACGGACATGAAGTGACAATGTTCTTGATTAAATAGAATTTGCACAGACGGCATAAAAGACTCTGTGCTTTCTGTAGTTAGGAGAGATGGTTGGAGAAAGATTTGGTTAGAGGAACGTATGAACTCAACCGAGTTCAGACGCTGACGCGGCAGAAGAGCGGTATGGTTGTCTATCAATATTACCGTGTTAATGTTATTGTTTCCTGGTGTAGTTTAGTTCCTGTTTAATTTATGTTCCTGTTGTATTTATGTAGCTGTTTTATATCCTGTTCCTGTTGTAAATAAATCCTATATTTACGAAAAATGATCACTGTTATCACTAAAATAGTTTTACAATTCTTACATAATGCATCTTTAGAGCCATGTTGCTCCTTTCAGTTTTTTTTAGATCAGACATTCTATTGAATAACTTGCTAGCCTGGAGGTCGGGTGTTCGATCCCTGCATTGGGCGAGAAAGTTCATCCAGATTTTCCGGGGTGGTTCCCCCTTGTCAGTGATGCAGAACGGAGGGCCTGACAAGGAAAACTGTCTAGTCCTTCGGATGAGACGAAAAACCAAGGTCCCGTGTATATATTGGAATGCACGTAAAAGATCCCTTGGCAGTTGGAATTCGATATAAGAGTAGGTGATAGTGCCGCTGCCCGGGCAAAATTTCCCTCATAGCACACTGTATGGCGTATGCCCGTCTTCATTAGCCCAGGTTAGGAGCAGAACAGTAGGACGTTAAACCCCATTTCATTTCATTTCTATTGAGTAAATATAAATTTATATACTTTTTATTTTGACTATTTTTAGCATGTGGTGGAGATCTTACAACCCCAACAGGAACTTTTACCTCACCAAATTTCCCAGGTCTCTATGCACATAATCGAGTGTGTACATGGAAAATTCGAGTTCAGTCTGGACGGCGTATTTCTCTCCGCTTTAACGATTTTAGATTAGAGAGTTCGTCATCATGTCGTTACGATTTTGTCCAGGTAAAGTGATGATTTGATAATGATTTCTGTATTTTAATATTCATTGGGAGTAACGGTGCTATTGTATTTTTCTAATTCTATATTAAAGTTACAATTTCATATTTTTAAGTTATATTTTTAAAATGTATTAAAATAAAGCCCTAAAATAGATGGTTTCTATAAACAGTCCTACCTTGTTAAAGAATAATCCTATTAATCCTATAATTCACTATTGCCAGTTGAGAAATTGGCAAAAATATCATTCTCAACTTCAAATTCAATCGTTTGAAGATAGCTACTCCATGGTGGAGAATAGAAAACAAGGGAGGCAATTGGGAGGTAAATGTGTTATTTCCTGTGTAAATGAGTTTTAAGTGTGAGAATGACACCTATGATCGTAAAATAGTGAGTTGACAACCTATTGAGCAAAAGACATAGAAATAATTATGTTTTGACTTAGAAAATATGAAATTGTAACTTTAAATTTGAACCATAAACAGGTGTTCAATGGAATTTTTCCTGACAGTCCACAAATAGCCAGATATTGTGGCGTGACTCCACCAGAGATTACCGAATCGTCGGGAAATACGATGACCGTTCGTTTCAAGACAGATAGCTCTCAGTCTAATGGTGGATTCTCGGCTACTTATACATCTGATAACGAAGCATGTAAGATTTATTAACGTATTTATACTATTTATACAAAAGGGGGATTGGTTGACCGAATGGTTTAACCTGTGCACGTTCAATCGGAAGGTCTGTCTTTGAGTCAAGTGGTGTGGTTTCAATTCCCCTTAGGATTCAGTTCACCTGTCCAGCCTCGTGGATTTTTGCTGGGTCGCCCTTTTGCCTTCCACTGCTAAAAACACCTATGCGGAAGCGATTTATTGAAATAAAATAGAACCATATGTTAGTCCTGAAATTAAACTAGAGGTGTTTTTTTTTGCATTTCCCCGTCTCAAAAATCAGGAATGCGGTTGCAAGACAACACCAAAAAGACTATTAGACCACTTTCAAGTTGCTGTACTCAAGGCATGGAATAGCCTGAACACGCGTTTGAGATAGTCTGATGTTACAAATTGTCGGGGGGGGGGGGGGGTGAACAGAGATTTATTTTCATCAATTAAGGTCTGCCCCTCTAACATTCATTTAATGCCCATACTTATGTCCTGGCTTGTATCCCAGTGTTCCTCTTGATTTCCTGCTTGACGGCCCCTTGTCAGTTGTGTTAGACAAATGACCTAATAACGAAAATGTCTTGTCATTCTGGTGGAACTAAAGTTAATAATGGAGCATGTTAATGATCGCATGACAGTTGTAAACTGAATAAGATTTCAGACAAAATGTCCTCATGGCATACTGTATGGCTTTTATTCCTCTTCATTAGCTCAGCCAGTGTAGAAAAGTAGGACTTTAAACACCATTTTATTCCTCTTCATTAGCCCAGTCAGTGTAGAAAAGTAGGACTTTAAACACCATTTTATTTCATTCCCATTTCATTTTATGTCTACTGCCATGTTTTTTTTAGCCTGCGGAGGTCGTCTGACAGAACCTGGTAATATTACCTCCCCTGGATACCTGGAGAATGGTAACTATAGCAACAGTCTGGACTGTCAGTGGCTAATGATTAACCCATCAATAGTCAATTCCTCTATAAAAATAACGGTGAAAGATTTATCGCTGGAACCAACTCGAGGTGGTGCCTGTGGTTTTGATTTTCTGAGAATAAAAGAAGGTGTGTATATACTTGGCCATCTTTATATTCAATATAACTTATTTTATTATATTTTGAGGTGATCGCTGAGTAAGTTTGCTAATGTGTAGCTTATACTATTATATTTTGAAGTGATGGCTGAGTGAGTAACACACTGGCTCGCTAACGTGCGGCTTATACTATTATATTTTGAGGTGATGGCTGAGTGAGTAAAACACTGGCTCGCTAACGTGCGACTTATACTATTATATTTTGAAGTGATGGCTGAGTGAGTAACACATTGGCTTGCTAATGTGTGCCTTATACTATTATATTTTGAAGTGATGGCTGAGTGAGTAACACATTGGCTTGCTGATGTGTAGCTTATAAACCTGGCCACCATTAACTTCAACATTGGGGAGGGGGAGCAATGGTGGCTCAGTAAGTAAGGTGATTGCTAGCTAACCAGGAGTCCCAGGTTCAATGGAGAAAGTTTCTCATGATTTAACAACCTGGTTTCCTCTTGTCATTGGTGCCTGTCTGAGGGACAGTATCTAGTCATTCGGATGGGATGAAAAACCAAGGTCCCATGTACACATTGACGTGCACGTAAAAGATCCCTTGGCAGTTGGAATTCGATATAAGAATAGGCCGTAGTGCCGCTGTCCGGGCAAAATTTCCCTCATAGCACACTGTATGGCGTATACCCATCTTCATTAGCCCAGTTCGGAGCAGAACAGTGGGACGTTAAACCCCATTTCATTTTATTTCATTTCCCGAGAAGAAAAGAAATATGATTTTTAATCAGATTAATTATTGATCAAGCGGTGGACACACTAGCCGAATGATTCGCCCGAATTAAACAGGTTTGATATATTCGGCCGTATACTTATTCGGGCGAATTATATTTGCCTGGTGTGTCCGCTTCGCCCAAGAATTCGGCCGAATATAGAATTCATTAGCCAATCACCACTCATATCGAGAAGTCACGTGATAGATTGAAGATATGTGACGTGAAAGGTGATGCAATCGGCAGGTTGAATCGGGCGAAGCATTCGGCTAGTGTGTCCACCCATTCTGCCGAATAAAATTTGGCGCCGATTGATTCGGCCGAACGATTCGGCTAATGTGTCCACTGCTTTAAGAAAATCATATGAATAAATCAGTGGTAGATAGACGTGAATTCAACCAGTTTAAAAAACCATCAAAACCATTATTTAAAGGAGCTAAATCGCTAATATTTTGGACCTAGAAATTGGCACAAATGGGTTGCAACACATATAATAATGTAATATGAATTTATATGAACTGTTTTACATTCAATCGTGTGCGTTTTACTGTGAATTGTCATCAGTTATGTTCGCAGAAATACGTCAGAAGTCTCAACCGCAAGTCAGTTTCTAGTGTCTGGTTATTCCAGTCAACACCTATATTATTTATTGCGCATGCTCTCCAAATAAGAATATGATATCACCGTTTGACATGACTTGTGGAATATGTCTAGCCTCATTCTTTGAGCACCTTGTTACAAATGGCGCTGAAACGCATTACGGTACACGATTCGTGTACTAATGGTAAAATGTTTATTTTGTCTTAAATATTGGATATCAGAAGCCCATCGTTTCCAGGTAAGATCACAACACCAATGCTGATTTAAATTGCAAAAAAATTCGTGTTTTCAATGTCGAAGATTTTGGATGATATTGAGTTACGGACTTAGCTACTTTAACAATAAATTAAGGAAACTGTTTTAATGTATCAGCAACATGAAACTTTGTTTATAATTTACCAGGAAATGATGCAACTGGTCAGATATTGGAGAGTTTCTGTGGTAACAATACGATTTCACGCCCCGTTGTTACACCTAGTTCATCACTATGGATACGATTTAAAACGGATACTTCTATAATAGATCGAGGCTTTAACGTGGAGTTTAACTTCACCAGTGAGTATGATTCAATTATCTGATTTCTGGATGTTTTTGATATAATATATCAAAAATAGATAATGAAAATAGAGAGTTGATTATAGGTTCGTCAGGTTAATAAATGTTTAATTAATAATATATATTAAATAAAGACCCGCAATAGGCAGATTTAGTTCTTGCATAATGTAGGTTTAAGGAAGTCTGGAACTCAAGCATCTGTCACAGACAGTGTTAGGCACAAATTCAGGATTTGTCAGGCAAAAATATTTTGTTTGATGTTTTTATTGATATTGTTAAAATATGTCTGTTAAAAGTTTAGAATAGTGTCAGACATTTTGTCATGTATAACTAATATCATTACTCCCTGGCCAGTTATTAAGGTCTGTTGTTAAGGCCTATTATTAAGGCCTGTTATTAAGGTCTCTTGTTAAAGCCTATTATTAAGGCCTGTTATTAAGGCCCATTTTCAAGTGAACTCGTAAAAATTTACAATATCGCTGGTCTATTTTCTATTTTTAGGTTGTGGTGGTGTTTTAACGGCAAGTAATGGAATAATAACCAGCCCCAATTATCCCAATGATTATGATCATATGGACGCCTGCGCCTGGAAGATCATGGCTCCCGCGGGAACTAGAATCAGAGTGAGCTTATATTAAATTTCATAGTGTGGGGGGGGGGGGGAGGGGACTTAATCCACGCTAATATGTACTCAGATTGATTATTTAACATTTAATTAAGAAAACAATATCAAAATATCAACGCTAGATAATCTCCCGGCTGGAATTCAATAGAATTAAAACTAGGCCCATCAGGGTTCTCCTCTACCTTTAAAAGGTGTCGGTATCTTGTTTCATAGCCAGATCTTTGTGAATAGTGAACGGACCATGTTTGGACTGATATTCCTATTAGGGATTCCTATCGCTTTAAATGGTGGATCCGGAAATTAGAAACTTAAAATGTTTCAAGAACACAGTATTTACATCCGCTGAGAGCTGAAATTTGGACTGTGATTTTAGTACCAAGTCAAATCTACTTTACGTGACATTAATTTATTACAAACTTACATTTCAGGTTCGTTTTTCCAACTTTTCAATTGAAACTCATCCCGCCTGTCGCTACGACAACTTGGAATTATTCAACGGAGGCAATACTGACTCGCCGTCAATTGGTAAATTCTGTGGTACGACCGCACCAGATGAGTTCCGTTCACAGAGTAACCAAATACGCATTGTGTTCATTTCAGACATTAGTCTCTCGGCACCAGGTTTCAGACTCATTTATTCATTTGAAACGGAAGGTATGTAAATAAAACTGGAATCATTTACCACTACTTTAATAAAACTATTGACCTAGTAGTCCCTTTCATAAGGAGAGGGCTGGGTGGTTGAATAGTCTAATAATTCTTGTGTATCCATGGAGCTGCAGGATGTTGAAGACTTATTATATGTGGCAGGATCAAATATATCAATTTGACATAACATTGGTTTTCTTTAAAAAATAATTCTTCACGGGCTTGCTCAACCTGTTTCTAGCACCTCCACTCAGTAAAAAGACTACCGTACTATTCAGACCTACCGTGGACAGCCCATCAAGTGATTCTACCAGTGGCACAGGATTCCCCTATGAAGGCTTATTCCAGTCTCAGAAGTGGTCTTAATAGGGATTTTTCACTATTCAGACACAACCCAGTCTCATAAGTGGTCTTAATAGAGAAATTCCACTATTCAGACTCAACCCAGTCTCACAAGTGGTCTAAATAGAGAGATTCCACTATTCAGACCCAGTCTCACAAGTGGCCTTAGTAGAGAGATTACACTATTCAGACCCAATCCAGTCTCACAAGTGGTCTTAATAGAGATTTTCCGCTATTCAGACCCAGTCTCACAAGTGGTCCTAATAGAGAGATTACACTATTCAGACCCAACCCAGTCTCAGAAGTAGTCTTAATAGAGAGATTCCACTATTCAGACTCAATCCAGTCTCACTCGTGGTCTTAATAGAAAGATTCCACTATTCAGACTCAACCCAGTGTCACACGTGTTCTTAATACAGATATTCTACTATTCAGACCCAACCCAGTCTCACAAGTAGCTTTAATAGAGATATTCCACTATTCATACCCAAGCCAGTCTCACAAGTAGTCTTAATAGAGATATTCCACTATTCAGACCTGACCCAGTCTCACAGATCGTCTTAACAGAACGATTCAATTATTCAGTCCAATTTAGACCACGCCTCACAATTAATAGAGGGATTTGAATATTCAGTCCCAATCCAGTAAAGAAAAATTGCTACATCGTCAAGATAATGTTTATTTTTAATTTGTGTCCAGGTTGTGGAGGTTTATATCATGGTAACAGTGGTTCTATACAATCACCCAATTATCCATCACCTTATCCACATAATACCGAATGTCTGTGGGATATTAATGTTGATAATGGTCGGATCATCTTATTAAACTTTATTCCACCGTTTGACATGGAAAGCGGGTCCTGTAATTTTGATTATGTTGAGGTAAGAACTTTGTTAAATATTTCTAAAACAGTTGTGATCCCACTGATAGAACCGTGATAGACAGTTTTGATCCAACTGTCATAGACAGTTGTGATCCCATTGTGATAGACAGTCATGATAGACAGCAGTGATCCCATTGATAGGATCGTGATAGACACTCGTGATCCCACTGATATAAAAACAGACCGTTATAGACAATTGTGATCCAACTGATAGTAAAACAGGCCGTGATAACAATCGTGATCCCACTGATAGACAGGACCGTGATAGACAGTCGTAATCCCACTGATAGTACAACAGACAGTTCTAGACATAATACGAATTTGTTGCGAGAAACATGTCTTTTTTATGTCTAGGCGAATATTAGCGCCTAGTTCATTCCCTAGTGGATGGACAGTTATACGATACAAATGTCATTATTATTATTCAGTGACAATATTTTAACGCGTTTCAAGACCCATCTTTATGACAATATGAAAACAGGTTTTGAGATATTCAAAGCCAATATCGAGTAACCATATTTTATTATGGTATTCAAGACCGGTACCAGTATCATGATTTTCAAGGCTGATGGTTAATCATTTAACTTTAATGGGCCTGTGTCACATTATTGGATTCATTCATATTAATTATTTGAAATAAAAAAAAGTCATGTAGCTCTTTTTTAAGTGCCACAAGATTTTCTGAGAACTAGAATAATTTGTTTATATGGCCTCCTCCTCCTCCTCCTCCTCCTCCTCCTCCTCATCATCATCATCATCATCATCATCATCATCAGTATTATCATCATCATTATTTGTTGTTTTATTTATAGACGCGAGACAGTTTATCCAACAGAACTCTGGTACCAATCGGCCGATATTGTGGTAATACAAACCCACCTCTTACCACATCATCAACAAATCGCCTCGTGGTTAAATTTAGGTCAGATTCATCCTTTAATGGTAATGGTTTCGCTGCCAACTGGACTGTGGGTAAGTCTGATCTCAGCTTCAAATTGAATGTGGGGGGTTGGATGGCCGAATGGTTAGCACGTGCGTGCTGTATCATAAAGCCTGTCATTGAGTCAACTGGCGTGGTTTCGAATCCCCGGTTGTACTTGACAAGGAATAGGGTCGCCTGTCCAACTTCATGGCTTTTCTCTGTGTCCTCCGGTTTCCTCCCACTGCTAAAGAACCCTACGCACAAGCCAATTAGTCCCGAAATGACCTAGTTTGTGTCGAGTGGACGTTAAACCCCATTTCTCTCTCTCTCTCTTTCTTGTCAGGGACATCATTCCTGTCCCACTGACCATAGAAAACCATGATGGAAAATTGAGAGGAACTTTCTCGGCCAACATCGGAAGCGAACCTCACACTTTCTGGTTATCAGGCAAGCGTCTTACCAACTGAGTCACCTGTCTTTCTTTGTTAATTAATGCCAAACTGATCAGCAGTGAATATTCGCTGGGCCGCGACCATCACTGATAAGGATGACATCGATGCGACTTAATGAGCCACAAATATTAACTTTTTTCCTCCGACAAATAACATTCTAAAACATTTTTTTTTATGTATTAGAAAATTAAATAAAAACGTTTGAAGTATTTGTAGGTAAAAATTATTTCCTATTTTAGTGTAAATGGGTAAAAGGCGCCATTCTGCTCGAACCAGTTACGTCTTATGTAAACAATGCACGCGCGATTGAGTCAATGATATGACACCATGTGTTGAAGGCCGTTATCTTTTATAGAAATACTAGAAGAATGCCCGGCTTCGCTCGGGGGTCATATCCCCGAAACCGGAAGTGGTAGACTAACGCCACCTGGCCTATGTTACTCCACGGTCCGAGCTACCCGTATACCCCAAATTTCAGACTCGGGGCAGACCTAGTGTAGCCGCCAACCCCGAACAGACAGACAAACAGACATACAGACAGACAAACGACAGTCACAAATATTAGTATAGATTAGAAGACTTTCATAATCCTTTGTGAAACAGATTGAATTAATGCATGTTTTCAGGAATGTTCTATTTTATATTTTCTGCAGGTTGTGGTGGAACATTTACTGCCGATACAGGCACCATTTTATCCCCTAGTTATCCGAACCGTTATGATAACAACTTGAACTGTACCTACAACATCGCAGTTGACCCGGACAAGTTCATTCTCGTAACCTTTGACTCCACTAACTTCGATATTGAAAGTAAGTTGTATTTTTATTTGGCCACAGATCACTAAAGATTTCCCCATTGACTTTTTAAACGCCCACATTTTCATGTGGACGTATTATGCCGTCGCCCCTGTCCGTTTGTGGACACTCTAGAGGTCACAATTCTTATCCGATTTTGATGAAAATTGAAATATACTTTTATCTCCAAAAGATCTCAGCTGCGTTCGTTATTGGCATGTATCGGATCGAAACTTCATGGATTATGGCCCCTGTTTGTACGAAAAATCACGTTTTTAGCTTGTGGACCCTATAGAGGTCACAATTTTTATCCGATGTTGTTGAAACTTGAAATGTAAGTTTATAACCCAAAGATCTCGGTTTCTCTTGATATTCGCGCATATCAGACCGTAACTTCCTGAATTATGGCCCCCGATTGTACGACGAAAAATCGCGTTTTTAGCTTGTGGACCCTATAGAGGTCATAATTTTTATCCAATTTAAAAAACTGTATTATTATATCACTGTTACACCCTAAGGACGACTGAATTCGAATTTCGTGAAAATCAACACAAAATTGACAGACAAAATGGCCGCCGTTCGTTCTCAAATAGCGTAAAAATATGTCAAGGTTGTGGACCCTATAGAGGTCACAATTTTTATCCGATTTTGTTGAAACTTGAAATATAAGTTTATAACACAAAGATCTCAGTTCCTTTCGATATTCGCGCATATTGAATTGTAATTTCCTGAATTATGGCCCTTGATAGTAGGAAAAATCACTTTCTTGTTAGCCTGTTCTCTATCCATCTCTCGAAAATGTGGGCGTATCCTGCCTGGCAGCCGCTGGTTAATGTTAATTCTCTTATCTTAGACCGACTCTAACTTTTTTCCAAAATTTTCATTGGGTAGAAGGCTTTCTACCACAGATGGAGCAACATGTGGCAACATCTTGCCCAAAAGCACGTATGAGGTTCTTCATGAAAAACTTGAGATATACAAGCTAGAAGTAGAGACAAGTAAACATGCAATTTTCATCCCTACATTTCAACCTAACCAACCTCTCAACTCTTGTATCCTTCCGCCTCAAAATTATGAATATTCACCAAAACCTGGCAGAACATGTATTTTCAAACCCTTCGATTCTACTCCAAAAAGTCAACAAAAATCGCCATGCAAAAGGGGGAAAGGGAAAAGGGAGAGAAAGACTAAAAATAGCTTTGGCCCTTGTTTCATCCTAGGAATATTTAGTGAGCTGTGTCCGTTTCTGTGTAGACCATGTTAAAGGCTCAATACCACTCTTGTTGTAACTGAATACCACTCTTGTTGTAACTGAATAATATGTCCCAATCTTTATTCTGGTCAACAAATTGTACTATTTTAGAATATTTCAATTAATTGATGATACAAATTTCATCTTAACACACCTTATTTAAAAATTTTGAAAAATTCAACATAATGGTTTGAAACGTCTAAAGTAAACCTTTTCAAATGAACCTTTGATTTAAAAATATTTTCGAACCCTCTGGACAAGTAAAATAGGATGTAATGGATAATTTACACAACAGGTAGGACACTTAAACATCTAGTACTTAGATAGAGATATTATTTATTTTCTGGAGCTTTCAAGCCAGCTAGAGTGTTATTGTCCCTTTAAAGGAGTTATCAGTTTAATAATTATAATACGTTAATTAAGTTAGGTTTCATTCAGAAGGGTGTCAGTGGTTGTTCAGACCAGCCAAACCTCGTGGGTTTTCTCTGGGTACTTCGGTTTCCTCCCATTATCAAAGACCAATAGGCGCAAGTTAATTATTGAAATAAAATTAAACCATATGTTAGTCCCCATTAAATTAAACAGTAATTGTATTCTTCCATAAAATTGTGACGTAATAGTATATTCAAGGAGACATTGGGGAGTGTTCTCTCAATAAACTGTTTCAATGGCATTTAGTAATTGAACTAGAGTATACAGGTGACAATTCTATGGAATACTGCTTGTTACTGAGCGACGTTTCGACTAGGCTTCTCTAGCTTGATAATGACTAGAGAAGCCTATAGAAGCCTTGTAGAAATGTCACTCAGTAATAAGCAGTAATTGTATTCCATAGAATTGTGATTTGTATATTCTCTCAATGTTAACAAGCTAATATAGTAATTTGTCACCCAATAACACATTCTACAGTATCCACTTCAATAAGCGAATTATTGAAATAAAATCTCTCTCTCTCTCTCTCTCTCTCTCTCTCTCTCTCTCTCTCTCTCAATTGGTCAATAAGAAATATGACCATGACCTGATTGTATTTCGGGTAATTACAGGTGTTTCATCATTTCTGCTAATTACAGGTGGTTCATCATGTCAGTATGATGCGATATCAGCTTACGAAGGTAATGATACATCAGGTAGATCTCTGGGTAAATTCTGTGGTACGACACCACCTCAACCAGTCAGTGCTCTGGGTAATATGGTACTCACCTTTAAAACAGATGGTTCTATCCCAGGAAAAGGATTTAGAATCATCTACAGAGCATCAGGTACGACTTGATATACTCTAAAACATGTTATTGATGTCATTAATGTGGGCAAGTAATTAATATGGGCAAGTAATTAATATGGGGATGTAATGTGGCCAAGTAATTAATGTGGGCAAGTGATTAATATGGGGATGTAATGTGGCCAAGTAATTGATGTGACCAAGTAATTAATATGGGGATGTATGGTGGGCAAGTAATTAATGCGGGCAAGTAATTAATGTGGACAAGTAATTAATGTGGAGATGTAATATGGGCAAGGGGGATCACGTGCCTAAGTGGGTAAGACGCTAGCTCGCTAGCCTGGAGGTCGGGTGTTCGATCCCTGCATTGGCCAAGAAAGTTCATCCAGATTTTCCGGTGTGGTTCTCCCTTGTCAGTGATGCATGAAGGAGGGCCTGATAAGGAAAGCTGTCTAGTCGTTCGGATGGGACGAAAAACCGAGGTCCTGTGTACACATTGGCATGCACGTAAAAGATCCCTTGGCAGTTGGAATTCGATATAAGAGGAGGCCGTAGTGCTGCTGCCCGGGCAAAATTTCTCTCATAGCACACTGTATGGCGTATGCCCGTCTTCATTAGCCCAGGTTAGGAGCAGAACAGTAGGACGTTAAACCCAATTTCATTGTAATATGGACAAGTAATTTATATGGGGATGTATGGTGGGCAAGTAATTAACACGGGCGAGTAATTAATGTGGGCAAGTAATTAATACGAACAAGTAATTAATGTGACCAAGTAATTAATATGGAGATGGAATATAGGCAAGTAATTGATATGGGGATGTATGGTGGGCAAGTAATTAATGTGACCAAGTAATTAATGTGACCAAGTAATTAATATGGAGATGTAATATGGGCAAGTAATTTTAATTAAAATATGGTGATGTAATGTGGGTAAATGTGGGCAAATAATATGGTCAAGAAATTCATGTGGGCAAGTAATATGGGCAATTAATTAACACGGGGATGTAATGTAGAGTGTAATTAATGTGCTCAAGAAATTAATGTGGACAATTAATTAATGTATTGTTATTATAGTATGTGGTGGGGTATCTACAGAAGCTCACGGTTTTATTTATTGTTATTATAGTATGTGGTGGGGTATATACGGAAGCTAACGGTTTTATACGGACACCAACACATCCTACACCATATCACAATAACGCTAACTGTACGTGGACCATCACAGTTCAACAGAATAGAATTGTCAAACTCAAGTAAGTTTTTTTTTTAAAACTACAAGTTTCTTATACAATTCAATCGAAAGATATAGAAATTAATTTGTGTTCCAGGACCTGTGTCCAACAATATCTAACTTTTCTATGTTTCAGTTTGATTTATTTGTCTGTACTACACTAGGATCTGGGAGAGTTTTTATATAACTTGCGTTCTGGGTGGCGTGAGGGATTAGCCAATAAAACCATCTGTTACAGTGACTTCTCGTACGACCCCTGACGCGACCTTCCAATACAACTGGTCAGAACTTCATGTAGTGTAGTCTTCGAATTATTGAAAAAAATTGAACCATATGTTTGTCCTGAAATGACTTAGTTTGTGTCTAGTGGACGTTAAACCCCATTTCTCAATCCCGTATATGACGATCACTGGTTTGTAAAATATGTATAAGGAATATTTTATACAAGCCAGGCTACACAAACAATTTAAATAAAATAAAATAAAACGTATTATTATATTTATATTTGTAGATTTATAACTTTTGATATCGAGGCTCACTCGTCATGTTTCTACGATTACGTTGAGATACGAGATGGTGATGATATGGACTCTCCATTGATTGGTCGTTTCTGTGGTAACCAGGTGCCAGACATTGTACATACTACAGGAAATCAGATGTTGGTTAATTTTGTTACGGACTCATCTTTAACTCGAGGTGGTTTCTCAGCAGGATATATAACAAGTTATGGTAAATATACCACAGTTTATTCAAGTTAAATTCCAGGGGTGGGTCAAGATACTTTTGAAATCAATGATACTGTCATGTTCCTAAAGCAACGACTGCGAGTTTCACAACATCTGGCCGTTGCTTGTTTACTTCACAATTCCCAAACTTATAGCTATGTTATCTACATACACGTGAGTAGTAGCGTCCAATCAGGTTGTGACATCGCGACCTCCACGGAAACCTTGACATTGAATGAACCTTGAACTTTGCAACTCGATTATCACAGGTAGACATTTTAGCTTGAAGTGCAAGACTTGGTATTCGCGACGATCGCAGAATCTGATAGGCTCACAAGTTGGGCTTGTACCCAGTCGAAATTAGTGCAGAAATATGCAGGGTATTACGTGAAGGCCTTCTTAAGATGTAAGTAGTTAAAGCGAGATCAAGCCTTCTATTGAAGATGGGAGACTATTTACTTTTGGCGTAATCGAAGGGCTATTCAAATACAGATTCTAACCGCGGATTAACTAGGGCTAGGTTTAAGAATTTGGGGGAGAGGTCAAGTCTCCACATAAGCACTGACCTAGGATGATGTAAATTTGGTTCGTGATATTTCCTAGTTTTATTAAAAAATACATGCAATACATTAGATTAATATACAAAGTTGGTTTCGCTGCTTTTTGGTGTTGGTGGCGCTGATGGTCTTCCTTCCGTGCCGCTTGTGGTATTCTGGTATTTTGATTTCTGAAGAAAAAAGAATAAGTTTAAGGCTCTCACATTAGTGAGTTTCTTATAAGGATTGGATTTTCACTCTCCCGGTGTTAGGGCTAGGGATTCTTATAATTAGTTGATTTTATTTACTAAGGGTTAGGGATAGAGTTTGATAAGTTCTTTGCTTAGGGCTAGGGTTAGGGTTAACTATATATTGTGCTAACACTTAGAGGGTAGGGATGACCTAGCGTGGTAGAATGTCAAGCTTAGAGCTCTGACTGACTGGTACAGATGGTTTGGAGCTCCAACTGACTGGTACAGATGGTTTGAGCTCTAACTGACTGGTACAGATGGTTTGAGCTCTGACTGGTACAGATGGTTTGAGCTGTAACTGACTGGTACAGATGGTTTGGAGCTTTGGTGTGAGCGTATGTGACTTGGAGGTCGTGGGTTAACTCCCACATGAATGACCCATGCGCATGCGCCCAATTAATTAAACTGCAGATGTGTCTGTGATATCACTATCACTGGAAGCGGACGTTAAAGATGCTTTCCCACAGAGGTATTTATTGGATGGTTATCCAATAAAAGTATAGCAATGTTGGTATGTATGGAAAGTAGAAACCCTCGATCTTATAAGAAAAATACTGAATTCCTTGAAAAATACAAAAATGAGAGGGTGTCACTAATCGGCAGCCTGGGTGACGTCAGTGACGTCAAAGGTTGCACGCATAGATTGTCTGACCTCTTGGCGTTCGGTAGTACTTGATGTACATGTTGATATACTTGATGCTAAGAATTGACAAGTGAATATTGTTTTTATTTTGACTGTAGGTGTCAAGCAAGGATGTGGTGGTATCTTGAATAATACCCAGGGTGCCATATCATCTGTTGATGGCGATGGTGACGGTAACTATGAGCATGGTTTAGATTGTAAATGGACGATTATTGCTGCTGAGAACAAGGTCGCCATGTTTAATATAACAGGCCTGGATCTAGAGAATAGTACAACTTGTAGATATGATTATATTAAGGTTTGTATTAAGGTTCGTGGGTTTTTCCGGGTCCCCTGGTTTCCTCCCAGTGCTGGCCGAATGGTTAGCATGTGCGCGCTGTATCATGAGCCTATCATTGAGTTAACTGGCGTGGTTTCGAATCCCCGGTTGTACGTGACAAGGAGTAGGGTTGCCTGTACAACCTTGTAGGTTTTCTCCGGGTCCTCTGGTTTCCTCCCACTGCAAAAGACCCCTACGCGCAAGCGAATTATTGAAATAAAATTAAATCATATTTTAGCCCCGAAATGGCCTAGTTTGTATCGAGTGGACGTTAAACCCAATCTCTCTCTCTTTCTCTCTCTCTCTCTCTCTCTCTCTCTCTCTCTCCCTATCAGAAATTCAACTTGCACAATATTGTAGTTTATAGGGTATTCAACATCATAAACTATAAACCCTACTTGATTACAAGATACTATAACGTTTTGACTGTTACCAGGTGAAGCCACAATGGTTCAGTGAGTAGAACATTGGCTTGGTAACCTAAAGGTCACATGTTCGATCCCGGTGTTGGCCGAGACAGTTCATCTGCCAGGGGGCTGGCAAGGGACAATGTATAGTCATTTAGATGGTACACATTGGCATGCATGTAAAAGAATCCTTGGCAGTTGGAATTTGATATAAGATTGGCCATAGTGCCGCTATCTGGGCGAAATTTCCCTCATAGCACACTGTATGGCATATGACCGTCTTCGTTAGCCCAGTCGAAGCAGAACAGTAGGACGTAAAATTCCATTTCATTTTATTTCTTTTCTGTTACCAGGTGTTTGATGGCATGAGTGATGATGATCCGTTAATTGGTATATATTGTGGTAATACACTACCGCCATCTATAGTTGCTACATCCAACTTCCTGTACGTTATATTCCATACAGACGGCAGTGTCACAGCAAGAGGATTTAACGCAACATACGGACAAAGAGACGGTAAGAATATTTATATGTTTATACTGTCTTTCAATGGACGCTTGTGGTTGCCCCCCCCCCCCCCACCGTATCCATTCGCTGGATTTGATATTTGTTATTTATTTCTTGCAATGTCTATATTTTGTCTAGTCCGTCTTGTCGGCAGGTTTATCTTGTTGGTTTTGTTTTGCGTGTAGTCCTGTTTCTCCCATATACCTGAAGCAATGGCCTTTGGCCATTGCTGGATTGGCTTCTGATACTTGAGCTTTTGAGGGAGTGTGTCTATTCTTCCTGTTCAATCAAATCTATCCCAGGTACAGCAACATGACAGCCCTTCGTTTAAACTGGGATCTTCCCTAAAACTTTGTACAGTGATTTAAGGTATTAAAAACGATGAAAGTGCTGTTCGTCTATATACAGTATTGTTTACATTGTATTCGTGTTGATAGCCTCGTTTGTCCCACAATTAGTTTTTCTGCAATATTCGGCTATGCACTGGTTAATTGGGCATAATAAAATCGTAATTAATGACATAATGTTATGTAAACATATTTGCTCCAATTTTGAGCTTTGTTTTAGCGTAATCATATTGTTACGCAGTTAGCTATTGGTTGTTAATCGGACTATTGACCAGTCATAATTTGGAACAGAAATGAGCTTCCATTAAAGAAGTGTTTAGTGGAATTAGCTCTAATCAAACGAAACACTGGGGGGAATATGAGTTTCTCCACTACGTACTACTACTTCATCTTTTAAAAATACCCATTTTAATTTGAATAATTTCACCATTTAGATATTTTGTTACCATTTAAATGTATGTTAAACACATGTAATATTATATTACAGCTCTATGTGGCGGCACTTTGTTTGCATCCAATGTTTCACAGATAATCAGCTCTCCGAACTACCCTAGTCCAGTAGGACAGATGGCACGATGTCGCTGGGTCATTGATTCAGGTGAAAACAATAAAAAAATCCGTTTGAAGTTTACAAACATTCGTCTAGCCACTGATCCAAACTGCCTTCAAGAATATGTACAGTTCCGAGATTCACCTTTGGTAAGTTGTAACACTTTATTAACAGTTACTGTGTGGAACTACTTTATTAACAGGTACCCTGTGGCACTAGTTCATTAACGGGTGCACTGTGGAACTACTTTATTAACGGGTGCACTGCGGAACTACTTTATTATTAGTTACCCTGTGGAACTACTTCAATAACAGGTACCCTGCGGAACTACTTCATTAACAGGTACCCTGTGGAACTATTTTATTAACAGGTGCACTGTGGAACTATTTCATTAACAGGTACCCTTTGGAACTATTTTATTAACAGGTACCCCGTGGAACTATTTCATTAACAGGTAGGCCTACTCTGTAGAGCTACTTTATTAACAGTTACCCTGTGGAACTAATTCATTAACAGGTACCCCGTGGAACTACGTAATTAAGAGTTTGAATACTATATTAACGATATTCGTTAAAATCACAAACCAGATATTTCATCTATATTTCAAAAAGTTAAAAATATGTACTATTTAAACATAAAGCCAAAATATGATATACCTGTATTTAGAGTTACCGACAGGGTCTTTTTTAGCCAAATTCTCAGACTCGAGGCCCTGTAACTCGGTTTGGGTGGGATTATCTCTAAACAAAATCCAACACTGAAATTTTAGTTTTATTTTCAAGAACTTTACTCGGTAATTAAGTTTGAAATGCTAGGAAATAGATCATACAAACGCTTACGACAAATATAATATTAATAAAAAAAACAAAGATTTTACATCGATCGACAGTCCCAATTTCGTGGCACAAAGTAATGGTAAACACATGTATTTTATTTTATTGCCATGGCCTTATCGTCTTATTATTGTAAAATGTCCCTAATTTGGGCATGTCAGGCCAAACTCTATATTATTGTAAAATGTTTGTTTTTAGGCCATGTGAGGTCAAACACTATATTGTAAAAGGTTTGTTTTGAAGGTGTGTTTGATGTAAAAGGTTTGTTTTTTAGGGCGTGTCAGGTCAGACACTACATTATTGTGGAAGAACAATACCCACTGGATATGATTCGGTTGGTCGAGTTATTATGGTGGATTACAATGTTCCAGCAGGGTCAAGGTCACAAGGATTCCAACTCTCATATATGGTAGCAGGTAATAAGTTATTTTGTCTTATTAGATTTGCGGATTGGGTGCTTAAAGCTCTCCTAGTTTGTGTTGAATGGACATTAAACCCCATGTCTCTCTGATTAGATTTGTGTTTGTTCTACCCTCTATGGTAAACCCACCGGAGCCCTGGTGGTTGAGCAGTGAGAGAGAGAATTAATGTTGATAAACCCACCGGAGCCCTGGTGGTTGAGCAGTGAGAGAGAGAATTA